TGGTGATTCTCTGCTGATGACAATGACCTGTGCAGCAGCGACAGTTTTGTAGTTGGTGCCTTTAAAAGGGATGCTCATTGCTGCTCAGAGGTACGAGAAAGACCTCTACATTACCCAGTCGAGCAGAGGGGTGTGGAGCCAAGACCCATGAGGCCACCCACTCTGGAAGTGGCACAAAAGGCAACAGGGTACAAACATGCCGCCTTTTGCCTCTTTTCTGTCTTTTGGGGCCCTAAAATGGCTCTTGAGTATCATCTTGTCCTTTTCTCCAAGGCTATCTGTAACCAGCCGCATATTGGGCCTGATGAAGGGCTGAATGCTGACCCCTTAGGGTCCAGGTAGGCTGGGCCATGTGCTTCTCCTTTTCTGTCTGGAAACCCTCAGATGACTGGCAGCTAGGCTGCCCCCAAAACAGGAGGTCTGCAGTGTGATGCCATCCTGGAAAGTCTCCAGACACAAGATACTCATGAAACGGGAGTCTGTTTGCCTTCAAGCTTTGGGCGTCACCGTGGCACTGAGCAGCTCTTGTCAAGGCATCAGTGACCCCACACTGCTAAACCCAGTAATGAGTTCCCAGCGCCCACCATACTTGCCTCTCAGCAGCACTGCCCTGGCCTATCCTACCTCCTCTCTGCCATGCCCTTCTATCTCCTCCGCTGGCTCTTCCTCATACCCCAGCCTCCACACATCAGTAGAGGTGGGAAAGGCCAGGGCAGTGCTGGCCTCTCCCATTTCTCTCTACACTACTCCGCAAGTGATCTCATCCAGGGGATGCCCTCTATATGTTGTTGACTTCTCAAAATATAATTTGTCCCAGACCTCTCCCCAGACCTCAGATGAATTCCCAATTGCCTACACACCATCTGCATTTGGATGTCAAATAGGCATTTCAAACGTCTGGGTGTGAGACTTTTCCTAATATTCCTGCCCTGACACCTATTCCTCTCGTAGCTCCCCTGGATCAGTACATGAGGATTCCACACTTTCTGCAGTTTAGACAATCACCTGGAAAACTCCTGGTTTCTCTCTCTCTCTCATACACACATATCTGATACGCCAGCAAATGATGTCATTTTGGAGCCTTTCTGTATCACCTCATTGTTACCAGGACAACATGGAGCCTCAATGTATCACCTCATTGTTACCAGGACAACATAGAGCCTCACTGTATCACCTCACTGATACCAGGACAAGGTGTTATGGTCTCTTGAGGCAGGAGCCCCAACCCCTCCCCCGGCTCCCTGCTTCGCCCTTGCCCACCTCCATTCCATTCTGCAGATTGCAGCCAGGGAGTTCCTGTAAATGTGGGTCAAGTCATAGCACTTCTCAGCTAAAAACTCTCAATGGCTTCCTAGCTCACTCCTCAGAAAAGCCAAAGTTCTTACAGTGAGTCTCATGGACCACGTCCTGATTACCTTGGACTTCATCACCTACCTCTCTCCCCCTTACTCACTGCCCTCCAGTCACATTAGCTTCCTCTCTGCGCTTCAAATACATCAGCTCTGCTTCTCCCTTGAGGCCTTTCCACAGGCTGCTCCCTCTGCCCAGAGTGTTCTTTCCCCAAATATCTATATATTCCATTACTGCCTTCAAGTCTTCATTCAAATGCCACCTTCTCAGTGAGGTACTTCTGAGCACCCCACCTAAATTACAGCCTCTCAGCACTTCTGTCTCCCTCTCGTATTTCACCTTCTCCATGGCACTTATCACTCTCTGACATACCATTTAATTGGTATGTCTCTCCACTAGGAGGTAAGTTCCATGAGGGCAGGGATATTTGACTGCTTTGCTCATTACTATACCCCCTGCACCTGAAACAGTGTCTGGCATGGAGCAGACTTTAATGAGGGGATGGATGGGTGGAAGCATAAACTGGAACATGTTTTTGGATGTAATTTACCAGCTACATCATTATTCTAATTACTTAGACAAGTACCTCCTAACTGTGTCCTTGCTCTCTGTCTTCTCTACTACTGCTCTTCCTATTTCCTCCATGATGTTTGTAGATTTTCCAAGGAGACTTGCATGATTGGACTCCTGCAGGTATGCTAACTGTCCTGCCCTGGTGCCATCTCTCTGTCACCACGTCCTACTCCAGCAGCATCTGGCAGGTGCTGACCCGCCTTCTGCCCAGGGAAGAACAGAAGTTGCCAGAGCCATTGATGAATAGTGATGATGCCTTTTTTCTTAAAAGACTACTTTGTTTTTGAGCTAAAAAGAACTGGCAGAGCTTACTATATTATAAATTTTTAGCGATTTCAAAGGCTAAGATACTATTTTAATTGAAACATACATATAAATTATAGCAGCATTTCTCCCCTTGTGTTTGTTTCAAAGGGCAAACTATGAAGTTTTGAAGACAAGAATATAGTTCCTGAGCCATACGCTAGCCTTTTCTGCAAATCTATTAGGTTGCCAATTCCCTAATAATTTAATCGCTGCTTTTATTGGACTTCCCCAATAGACACAGTCCTTTGGACTGATTTCCTGGCTCCATTACTACATCTCTCATATCCATTTCATTGCATGGGTCTATTTTACTCTTCATCTTGCTTTTTTATAGACTCATTTCCTTGCCCCACCCCAGTAGGACTGTTCTAGCACCATTTCGACAATTGAAGGTGGCAGGCTCCCACTGTGTTCTCCCAGGACAAGGCTGGCTGAGGACCAGAAGCAGACAGCAAAGGCTCCTCCAGCCATCAGGAAGGAGTACACGGTGGGAGGAACAGCAGTCTCCAGGGTCTGATTTCATCCATATTCGGACTTCTGAAAATCTTGGCAGAGGTTCTGTCCACTGGATTAGGCCGTTCATCACGCTCATCCCAAAGCCTGGCCAGAAATGTGGGGGGACAGGCCTTGTCCACAGGATCTGGTCCAGCAGCAAAGAATTCTCCATGCTAGGAATGCCTTGGAATTTATTCATTTAATGGTCAGGACAGGGAAGCAGCACACATCTTGGGAGCTCTTGCTTTAGGCAGAGAATAGAATAACTATGTGTGTCTGTGGACCACAACTGACTGCTAAGCAAGTAGTGGATACCGCTTATTTTTAATAATATGCTAAGAAACTTGCTCATCGGCATGAATCATGACACTGGGCCTCTACCCTGACTTAGGATAGAGAGGGGCCAAGATGCCAGTTTCTGTGTTTCAGAGGTAAGCTTCTCTGTGGCACTCGTCTACTGTGCCACTCCGTGCCACAAACTAACTATGCCACAGTTCCAGCAACAGTATAATAGAATCTTCCAAGCATTTTCCCAGAAAGACTCCAGTGGCACCATTGCTCACTATTATAATTCATTGAAAGCCCTGTCTTCCAACCTGCCTCCTTAGGTTATTAAATTATGTCATCACCAGTCCCTGTTGTTTGTGTGTTTTAATTTTGTGTTTCCCCTTGAGCAGCGATCAGAAAGGGAGCACTGGTGGAGGGTTCTAGCGGTCTCTGCAGCTCAACCTTTGCTGGCTCCTTTCCCACTTCCTCCACTCGATCCTCCTCTAGATCCCCCATCAGGACTCAGGTGCTAATGAGCAGAAACTCACAGAAATCTGTCAGGAGTTTGAAAACATGGACATAACTCATGCCTACTATAAGGCCGAGAAACTAGACTCACTGTATTTGCATGTATGTGCTAGGATATATATGTACACACATGCCTGCATACAGGGATTTCACAGCTGATGGGAAGACCGAGGTTTCCTCAGGGCAGCTGGCCTGGCAGTCCTGTGCCTTCCTGGCTCCTTAAGGAGAGAAGCACCTGATCTATACCAGCGTCCTGCTTCCCTCCATCAGCCTCCCTGAGACCCGATGGGTACTGTCACCTCCCTTCCACTCAGGGAATGTTTCTGGCTGCCCACCTTACCTGCCTGTCTCCATACAGCAACCATCTTGTTGGCTTTTTAACCTGTTTGGTTCCTGACTACCCTAGATGCTCAAGGTTCAGGAGCATGTTTTCAAGTTATGCTGCTTGTAGAAGAAA